ATATATTTCATGAGATCAAAAACTGATAATAGTTTTTTTTAAATAAATATAAGACAGTGTATAAATATGTAAATATCCCTTAAATATATATACGCGATTACGCTTACAGCCATCCCTTTAATTATTAGCAAGAAAAACAAAGAAACGTTTCTAGCAAAAGAAAAACAAAGAAACGTTCTCACTTATATCATAAGAAAAAGAAAAAGAAAAAAAAAAAAGAGAACAATGTTATATATTAAGGTCCTATTTGGTAACGTTTTATAATAACTAAAAACTTCATTGCCGAACACACTTTAGTTTTGTGTTTTCCATTTTTTTCAAAAAGATTAAAAATTATTAATTTAAACTATACCCAACGGACCCATGCTTTTAAAGGATAGAAAGAAAACTTTGAAGAGTGAAGACGGCAACAATCTTTGTGATAAGTATTCTCTGCAAGAGTTTATGGCTTAGTTTGGTAGTGTTGTGAATTTTAAAAAAATTATTTTTAACTGTATTGAAAAAAAAAGTAACTGTTATAAAAAGTAACTGAGTGTTTGGTAAATTATATTATAGTAATTGTGCTGATTTTAAAATTAGTGTAATAACGTTTAGTAAATTGTGCTGTGAATAATTTTGAATCATGATTCTGAATCTATCAACCAAACGTCCACTGATGCTTACTCCACACACACTCTCTTCTTATGCGGCTTGATCACTTCTTTGTTTTTTTCACAACTCAAATTTTTATGTAAGAAAAAATATTATAAAAAAAGGTTAAATTTAAATTTTTGTGACAAAGAAAAAATCATTGTAACAAAAGAATTTGAGTTTTAAAAAGAATAAGGTACTTTTTTTGTTCTCATTTTCTTGATTTCACAAGCTGGTCAATGAAATTGAAATAGTGAAATCTTTACCTCTTTCTCCTATGACCTTCTAAGAAATCTAATTTCTATTTTAGGCATCGTTCACTTCGCGGATTCGAGTTTTTAATTTGAGCTAAGATGTGATATTTTTTGAGAACTTTTAACTGTAACAGAAAAAGTTAGATGTGACATTTTTTGAGAGTTTTTTACTATAGAAACCTAAAACTCAAATCAGTGAAATGAACGAGACCTACGTACGCTTTTAGGCATTAATTTTGTATTACACTATTCAATTATAAAACTTCTTATACAACTATTTTTGACAAGCTAGATTGATAAATATTGTTGTGATTTATAAGTTATAACAATGGTTTTTTATATTTTATATTTTTAATTTTTGTTACAGATCCCTTATATCAAAGAGCTATGTGGATAGTTTCGCAAGATCTGTGGCCTGGGATGAGATTGATAAAAATAAGCTGATTGTTTGGGACTATTGCTTTTCTTTTCGTTTCTCTATGATGAATGTGATGGTTGTTTGAGAAAGTTATTTTCAAATTAAAAAAATGCAAAGATCCAACACAATGAGTGTGTTTAGAACTGTTTTTTAACAGTTTTTAAAAACGTTTTTGTACGTCTTTTGAAACATGAAAACGAAAACGGTCTACAAACCGCGTTTGTTTAGTAAATATTTTAAAAGTAAAAATGAAAACAAAAAATAATTGTAAAATTTATCTAAAACCATCAGAATCGTTGTAATGTTGTCATATAAAATTTTTATTAATTATTTAATTCTAACTTAATAAGTATGAACAAGCGTTTCAAAATCTTTGATATATCTTACTACTCTTCTCTCCTTGAGTCAATGCGCTTGGTTGCCGTATTCGAATCATGGTTCATGGTTCACTATAATATTTTCTCAAAAAAAATACACCCAAATCGAGAATAATTCTTAATCATGATTCTGAATCCATGAACCAAAAGTGAGAGCATTGAAAACATAGATGGAGCCAAAAAACAAAGAAAAAAATGAAATTACATGTACACCCCAAATTTTTATTAAGGAACCCCTAAATATTGAAAATTATTTTCTTTTTAATATCCGAATTTCATATAATTCCACAATCATTCTTATATACATCCCATGTTTAAATCACGTTGTTAAAATTTGAAATTCAAGTCCTATATTATTCACCATTATGCGGTTGATTGATTCATGTATTAACACATCCACAGACATATACATCTTACCTACAATTACAAACATACGTACGTACTTACATAGGGAGAGAGAGAGAGAGAGATGTACATTGGTAGATTTGCATTCACACCAAATACCTTATTGTTAAGGATGTTGACCATTCTTAAAAAAATAAATAAGGATGTTAACATACTTGCAAATGTATTCGTGCAATATCAATTCCCCCCACCCCCCGAGATACCACCCTATATGTGTGGCATGTTATTGGATCGAACAATGATTTATTTTAACTTCCTATTTTTCCTAATGAAGAAAAGCTAATTAATTAAAATTTTAAAATTAAAAAAAAGAAAAAGAAAAAAAAAAGGTCTTCATATCCTTGTGTGGGCAAAACTAAGGAGTTGTTCTTTTACATTTTTGAGTTATGGTGACTTGAATGATGATTTTGAGTTGAGTTTGAGTTATAATTTGAGTTGAAGTTGTAACTTGAGTTTGTATTTGGATGTGCACATTGAATTTGTGTTTGGGTGAGTTAAAACTTAAATTTGTATTTAGATAGTATTTTAATAAAAATTCAATGGTGATGAAAAATTTTAATAGGGTATATGGGTGAAGTTTTATTCGTCTTTTTGTTGTGAATGCATAGAAAAAAAATCATCTCAATTGGAATTAAAATGAAAAAGTTATGGTATTTTTAAGAATAGAAAAAATATTGTTCATTAACTTGAGTTCGAGTTTATGAACTCGAGTTGAAAGGGAAACTTGAACTCGAGTTTAGCTCCAAATTCGAGTTCAAACTTGAGTTCAAACTTAAATTTTACAAAAGAATATGAACTTGAATAAAATTATAACTCGAATTTAAATTTTTTTTGAGTTTTGTGGACATCTATATGAGTGCATATTTTTCAAAACGATTTATTTTTCCTCCTTTTGGCTATAAGTAGCCAAAAGTTGTAAGCGAAAGGGCTTTTCAAGTTGTAATTTGTAAAGGTGTGGGAAATAACTTTTCCCATTAAATTGCGAAGTATGCGCAGAAAGGTCTAATTGAAAAAAAAAAAAAAAAAAAAAGGGCCAATTGAAGAAAGGAGGTGCTTCGAGGAAATAAAGTGCCCTTCAAATTTCGACATAGGGTGGTTTGAAGAATTAAGGCTACTTTTGGTTTTCTCTAAAAATATACTAAAGGTCACGGTGATTGGTAACTTTTGCTTGGATTGATTTTATATAAAACAATTTTTATTATTATTGTTTAAATTTATTAAAATAATTTTATAGTAAAATATAATTATTAATACCCATTTTATTTTTCCCTAATGATTTAAAAATACGTATATTTTAAACGTTTGTTTAGAAGTTGCTGAATATACTATACTAAGTTTTACTCAAATATTATAAATGAATCAAAAATTAAAATTTTTTTATTACATTATTATGATCGTTAAAAATATTGAAATTTACAACAATATACCAGAATAAAATAAAGAATTTAAAATATATTTTTTAGTATTTTTGAGTAAAAATATTGTGAATGTATTAGAAATAAGAAAAAGAATATAATTATTGCACTAAAGTGTCTCTATTTTAGTCAATATTAATCTTCATAATTATTTTATACATACTTTACCAACGACTAAAATTTTACTTCTAGTATTTACAACAACTTTGACAAAAAAAAAAAAAATTACCGAATGCCTATCTATTTATGGTCATAACAACTTTTTATTAATAATGTAATTATAACAAAAAATTTTAAAACTGTCACTTATATGGTTCTCAACACTCTTTAATTTTAACTTCTCACACTCCTTTTTAAATACACCGTATATAATTTTAAAATGATTTAATATACTTATTATACACCCCTATAATTCTAAAATTATCCATAATATTTCCATAAGATTATTTCATCTCCACCATTTCTTTTTTTTTTTCTGGCAACTACTATTTTTTCCTTATTTTAATGTTCTCGTTTCTCTATATATTTCTTCTTTTTTTTTTTGTTTTTGTTTTTTTTTTTTGTTGTGAAGGCTTTAGACAGAGAGCATTTTTTTCATACGTAAAGAACATTTTAAATACTAATATAATACCGTCATCATAATGTGTTTATAATTCGAGCTAATTCCTATAATTTCTAACAGGATGTATTGAGTGACGCAAAAGAAAATAATTTAAGTTATGAGACATTTAGTTCATAGATTAGAACCATGAGATTAGAACTATTTTTAATTTACGTGTGTTTTTTATGAGAAAAAACACTGTAACAAATTACAAACCATGATTCGAATCAAGATACGAATATTTTTCGACAGTGTTAGTTTAAGAAAGTAGCACATTTTTTTTTTGAACTTGATGTATGACTTGTTTTCTTGCAAATCATTGTCGTTTGACAAAGGTGAAGAGAGAATTAAAGAGATGTTTGTTTCCTGTATTCGTTCCTGATTCTAAATTATGGTTTAAGTTCTTTACAGTGTTTTTCTCTCATAAAAAATACATATAAAATAAAAATAATTTTGAATCATAATTCTAAATTTACGAATTAAACGTCCACTAAAACACCTGTCCTCTAGCTTTGCATGATACAAATTACATATTAAAAATATATTAATCTCTTTTCACTAATTCAAATTAAAAAATAAATTTATATTAAAAAAATATTGTAATATAAAAAGTTAAATTTAAAAAATAGTATAATAAAAATTGTAATTCAACCTTTTTAATAACCCATCTAATATTAATTTTACGTTTCTGTCCTTTTTATTTAAGCTTAATTTACTACCACGTCAGCTATTTTTAGCGCAATGAGACAGAAAAAGGAGTTTTCGCTAATTTCTCATTCTTCAGGGAGAAAAATGATGTACTTCTTAAAATCTGAGGGTCAATGTAAAAAAGTAACTAAAATTAAGCCAATTTTTATTTTTATTTTTTACCTTTCTTCTTCATAGAAACACGAGAAAAAACAGAAGAGTTTAAAATGGTAGAAGCTTTCAGAGAAAGCCATTGCCATTTGCCAGTTCCATTTCCACTAGTTGCTTTATGATTTTCTTTCATTTTCCATCTAACCAAACAAAGGTTTTTTTTTTTTTTTTTGTAATTTATTATCGAAAAAGAAAGATTAAGACGATATTCCCATGGCAATGGGGTTAGAAGACTTGGAGCCGATCTTCGGCGAGCCTAGGGTTGAGTGTCCGGGTAATCATTCGGTGGAGTCGCCTCCATTCCTGTTCCATGTTCACGCCTCTGATCCTTCTCATCTGGCCATCCACGTCACCGATTTCCACTCCAACACCTGGGAGGCCCTACGCTCTGTTCATCAGCTCGAAGATATGGTAGCGTTTTCTCTTGATTCCTCTTTTTCTTTTTTCCTTGTTTTTTAATTCTTTTTTTTTTGTGCTAAAAATTATATCTCTTCCCCTATTTTTCTAAAAACTTTATGGATTTGCTTGAGTTAATTTGAGTTGTGTATGTGGGAAGAAAACAGTAGGAAAAAAAATTGAATTTGAATTTTTACCGGAGAAAATACGGTAGTAATAGATCTTGAGTTATAACTTGTGTTATGAAAAGAACAATGGCTCAATCTTTTTAGTGATTTTTTAGTGTGTGGTTTTGAATGGAATAGTAATGACTCCGTACTCATTTTTATTAGCTTGTTTTCGATTAAAAGCGTCAAGGAGCACATAAAAACTGTTAACTTTGTTGCTAAACCTTTAAAAAATGACGGGCAACTGGTGATGTATTATTGCCTTCCTAAACAATTTGTCACATTTGCTGTTAATTATCAACATTTGAGGGCCCGTTTAGGAAGTGTATTTGAACCATGATTTGAGTTTTGATTCAAATTTTTGTGAGAGAACTATTGGCAAAATTTTTTTTGATTTAAATTCTTTGTGAGAGGAACACATTGTAACAGAATCATGGTTTGAGTTTTGAGTATATGTACCAAACAACCTCTCAATCAGAATTCTTATGGTTTTTTTTTTTGTTTTTTGTTTTTTTAAACGTCGATGGAGCAATGGAGGCAAATCCGTCCTTTTGGGTGATTGGCGCAAAATATGAGCCATTGGCTTGAGGGAAATACTACACTGTGTTGTTGAATTAATCATGCCACACAATCAGTTAACAGTGATTTTTTAACTGTTTATTAGTTGAAGGGTTATACCACGTTGCGAAATAAAGTTTCAAGGTCTATTCTGACACGGACTCAAATCAGTTGTCCAATCAATGGCTTTTGATCACTTTGATGCTCTTTTTTTATTTCTTTTTTCTTTTTTTGTTAAGAAATAACTTTTCAGTAAGTTCTTTTAGTACTTCTCACTTGTCAGTATATAAAGAAAGTTCTTTTATTACTTGCTTACGGTTGTGTGCAGAGGGATGACATTGGAATAGGAGACTCTTGGTCTGAGTTTATGGACTATATCATGGCTTCCTTAAAATCTCGAGAAGTGAAGCTTATTCTTGATGGGCATTTGAACTCGGACGGCGGTTGTTATTCTAGCTCCCTGCTTCCTTTTTTTGTTCTCTGTTCGTTCTTTTTTTTTTTTTTTTTGGGGTCTGTTGTTAAGAGAAATGTACAACAGAACAGTGTGCGCCATTAGATAAAATTATAGCTTTGAGGTTTGACGTCATGAATTGTGAAGTCGGCTGCATTTGCGTGTAGGCTATAAAATCTTGATGAGGCTGCAGGTCTATGTGCATTCTTTAGTAGTTTTGGATATAAGTTGGGAGTTTTTTCTTCACAATCTTTAAACAGCTTTTGGTATTTCTTGCTCCTGCCTTTGTTAGGGATGTTTACATGTTTCTGTCAATTCTTTTTTTTTTTTCCTTCTCTTGCTTTGATGAATTGATATCTCAATTTCATTGTAAGCAAACTGTTTTTGCATAGTTTCCATAACATGTCCTTTCTAGCTGTTATTGCCGCAGCATGTTGCAAATGAATTAGGATTTTATTTCCTCGTACATAAGATTATACATAAATTTAGTTGTTGTTGAATTTAACTGATATTTCTTGGCTGAATCAACTCTTTCTTCTTCTTTTAGACATCGATATGTGCTTGGATGCACACTTCCATGTGGAAACATGCTTGTGACATGAACACATCTTATCCAAAAATGTATTTAGTTTGTAGTCTCATTGCGCAGGACGGCAGGAGTGTTGTTTTCTTGGTATCATATGATATAGGCATGCGTGGATGATTAATGATAATATTGTATTGGTTTGACCTAGTGGTGGGTCAATGCATCTAGATCTTTCGTGTTAGGGCTCATGGTAGTGCGTGCATTGTTTGCTTTGCTCTTACTGTCCCAATAGTTGGATTGTTTGAACAGTTATTCTTGTGAGTTTAATGAATCCAATGCTAACTTGGTTTGAAGAAAGCAGCTTGTAACCAATATAGTTCTTTTTCTAGCAATGGATAAGCTGGGAAACATGAACGAGCTTGTTTTAGGGATAAGCTTGGATTTTTTTTTTGGTTTCAACAGGGAACTCCTTTTATGATTTAATTCTTCTGACAAGAAATTTCTCAGGTTCCTTGAAAAGAAATATTTTGCTAATAGATGAGTGTGTAGTATTGGTGGGCAAGAACTATTTAATTGCTTCATTCTTCTCTCGTCTTTTAATTTGTATTTTCTTGTAGTTAGGTGCCAATGGCATTTTGACCGCTTTTGATAAAGTTTATCCAAAAACGTCAATGAGGAAATAAATGCTTTTATTATCTGTCTGGTATATCAGGTGCTGCACATGCAAAATTAGTTGCTCAGAAAATAAAAGTAATGCCGGTGATCGCCATTTCTCTCACAAAACTTACAGGTTCTGTTGCTAGTTCGGCTATGGCAAATCTGTCTCTTCAGCTCTTCAAAGCATTTAAAAGCACCCGTGAGTTATATGTTGAAGTTGGCATTCTCTTTCCTTTATTGAATTTATAGGCCAATATAGGCGGCTGGAATTAACCGTTGTTCCTTCCTTGACTGTGTTCCAGAGCAAGAGTGCTCTATTCAGTTACAGAAGGTGACATCAACTGAGAGGGTATGCCTCCTGTTACTGACAGTTAACATACAGTTAAGCTTAAGCTATTCTTGGTTAGAAAGAAGGCCTCCTGTTACTGACATAACGAGTCAGTTCTATATTATTGCATTCTGCTTGCTTATCCTATGACCATACTCTTAAGAAAGCAGAATGATCAGTTTTAATTATTTTTAAGTGATTTATATAGAACAATTGAAATTACAATGTATGTTACCAACAGCTAAAAGTGTATAAAAATATCTGAATGGAAATAAGATAGATTCTTTTGTATTTGCTTTCCTTTTATATTTAATACAAGTTACCCATTTCTTATAAAAAAAAAGAGAGAAAAAAGAATAGAAATAAGATAGATTTTTCTTCTTTTTTTCGAAAATATTCTAATTAAACATGTATAATGATTTGTTATCATTAGCAAATAACAATGTTCTTGTGTACAGATATGCTTCTTTGGTATATATTGAATAATGGAATCACCCAAAACTAATTTTTTTTTCCCTTGGTATGATGAACAATATAGAAAATAAAAGTTAGTTTAGTTGATTAATTTAACTAATGATTTTAGATATATAATACATTGAATCCCCACTATTGTCAAAGAAAAATTGAATATACAAGAATTTATATGTTTTTTGTTTTTTGTTTTTTGTTTTGTTTTTTTGTTTTTTTGTTTTTTGTGTTTGTTTGTTTTTTTTGTTTTTTTTTTGTTTTTTTGTTTCTAAATTTTGTGGCATCGTTATGGCACATTATCCTTTGACCCATATCTCTATGTTGGTTCGTGTGAAAGTGCCACTAAAATTTCTTTTCCAATCGCCAGGAAAGGAGTGAGAGCAACCAGAGCCAATTGGAGCAGTTCTCCAAGAGGCAAAAGTTGCAGATGACTAATTCCTCTGACAAATTTGGTGTTTCTGCATCACTGAATAGTGGCTTGCAGTCTCCAGGTATGTAACTTATTGTGTTTTGTCAGTTGTCGAAAATTTGTCATATTATAATTCATCTTTTTTTGGAGGGAAGCTTTTACTCATATGTCAATAGAGTTAGATGATTCCATTTGGGCTCTGTAATTCGACAATTTCTTCTCCAATAAAGATTCATTCTTGATCCATTTATTTGTGTTTCCCTTGGTTTCTATCAACTTCTTACCTTCCTGGCTTTACCTTTCATGCTTCTAATGAAACTCAAGCACTAGTATATGTAGCCTGAAAGTACATTCGAACAGGTCTCTTTTGCATAGTTCTCTTTAGATATGTGGTTTTTAGATGCCAAAGTTTTTTTTCCCTCCATACTTTTGTTAGCAGAGAACAAATATTAGAGAAAACATTAAAAGTTTCTGAAAACTAAATAGTCTACACATATTTGCATGTTTTTTCACTCTATTCGAATACCACTTATAGATGTTAGTTTACTTATTTCCCCCAAAGCTTAAGCTATCAGGAGGTGGGCTAACAAGAACTTTTATATTTTAACAACATATCCGTATGATTTCTGAACTTTGTAAATTACTTTACCAAACTAATTTTTTCAATGTAATAATGCTATTTTTTTTTTCTCCTGTACTTCTAAACTTGTCTAAATACCATTTCTGCACATCTTGGCACATTCTGCTAGAGGCAATACTCCAGTTTTTCCGGATCGTTAGACCATCTGTTTTTAGATCTTTTAACAGCTTGTTTGTATTTGTAAAATCATTTACATTATTAGTAGTAAGAGATTTTGTTGTTTTCATATGAAAATGCAGAAAAACAAGCAGCTCGAGACACTGGGTCAACAAGAGTTGCCAGCCGTGTTGTGCCCGCATATCGAAGGTAAGGCAACATCTTCAGTATGCTTTACCATTTCCAAATGTTCTCATCACACGAGTGTAATTGCAAATTTATTTGACAGGGCAAGAGTACGAGGCGTCCTTCTGCACGATACTGAAGATAATGATGACAGAAAAAAGCAATGATATCTGATGATGTGAATCACTATGTTCTGTAGATAAAAAGAGAATGTAGGTTTATGTTTTTGACATAGGTTGACTAAAACAATAGGAAGAAAAAGAAAATGGAAGGGTTTCATTTAATCTTCACTCTTTTGATTGATGGTTATTTATGAAAATGAGATTGTTGCATTGATGCAAATCTTCATTCTAACTGATGTTTCAGTAGGACAACCAGTCTATTTTGTGAAGGAACAGTTTCAGATAACATGAGACCGAGGGTTAAAAATATCCATATTGACACATTTATGAGCAAAAGCAGCATTGTTTGTGTCATCGTGTTTAATGTTCATTGATACCTCATTGCAAAATGCTTTTTCGCTGGCTCCGCCATGGACTTGGGAAGGGATGTAAACAATTTCAGATTTGAAGCTTTTGGGAGAAAATCTAGCGAGAGAATTTGAATTTGAAATGACTTGTTACTTGAGAACGTTATGCATTTTACAAGTCTTACTCGGGAAGAATATTTCATTTCTGTTAAACAATGTTTGCTCAAAGCATAGAGATTCTGTCTTATTTCCTACCAGCTGACAATTTACTACTCTCTAACATGGATTTGCTTTGCTGCCAGCATATTTATTGTCATCACTTTCTATGGCTGTAATTGCAAATAAGCCAGGCTAAAGTTTCAAGGGATTCAACTCAATAAAGTGATTCAATTATTTTTCATGTAACGTCTAACAAATTGTTTTATTCGACATAATTCCAAGACACGGCTCAACTCCACCCCTGCAAGCTCTTGTCTGGATTGATGTAAGTTACTTGGAATCACCGAACAATGCAAGTATACCTTGATTTCAGATTTAGGCCTATTTACATTATTCTTCATGTCTTGCTGTGTGTACTCCATGACGTCCTAAAAATAGGCAAAGTATATAATCTTCAAAAGTAACTACTCTCAAGGATAGTATGCATGAAAGTACAGTGATGAATTCTGCCTGGATTATGTACATTTCAATTTTTGTGGCAAACATTTCCTTAAGTCAACTATTCTATCTTGATTACTGGTGCAGGGTTTAACACTTAATTTCCCGTTCGGAAGATGCAATCTTTCTCCCTCATGCTTTTGCTTTTTTTGCAAGTGAAAAAGGGCCAGCAACCAGGTACGAAATCGCTTTCACCAGAATATCTGCATGATACAGTCAAGGTAGAATCCATTTAGTTTTCTGTGAATGGATTTAGTCAAATACCTTAATTATAATAGTATTAGAACATAAGTTATCAACCAAATTTACATGTTTTATGAAATTATGATGATTTCTTCTTGGGTTAAGTCACCCCTTATTTTCTAAAAGCACTTATTCTTACTTGGTGCAATAGCTCTGTCTTATATTCTTTCATACAACCATTAATCACTGCATTTGACATGAAAAATAATCAAATACCTGCCACCACTGCTGCTGTTGCTGCTACTACTGCTTCCGCTAGTGCTACTCCTGCAAATCTTTTTACTTCTCCCCACGACAAAAAGCCCCTTTATCCACTGAACTTTCTCTGTATCGGTTTCCGATTGCTTAGTTGATTTGATAGAAGAAACTCTAGCTCGATTCCCCGCTTTTGCTTTCTTCTTCGAACCCAGAGAAGTCGGAAAGAACATTTTGATCAGGAAAGTCTCGCTTTCCATACTTCCCGTCCTTGTTATCTGCCCTCTATTTATGGTCCTCTTCTGTTTCTTCAGCTTCCTGATCTGTGTTGGGACGTCGAAGTTGGAATTCTCATCTTTGATGACAGTATTCTCTTCCTCGCCCTCCTGCAAACCATGCTGCTTATCAACAAGATCTTTCAAAGAGAGTTCATAGCAAGATTCAGGCATGTTTTGGATCATTTCCATGAGCTCTCTCCTTCCTTCGGTAATTACTTGCCTCCTCGAATTTGGGGAGAGATTGCTGTAGTGATGGTTGTGTGGAAGCAAAGGAAAAGATTCATATTTGGTAGTTCCTGAACATTTATTAGTCCTCCATAACGGTGGCGAGTAAAAGCCAAACCTTTCTTCATCACATGTTTCAACTTGAGACTCTAGTTCAGTGCTGAAACTGAAATGATCACCAAAACTCTCGTAGTGCTCTGATCTACGACCACCCAAGAGATCAAATTTGCCGTCTCCGGTGCTCTTTCGTCGGGCGTGCATCTTGTAGGGTGGACTGGAGGAACAAAGATGAGTTCCATCAAGTTCTTGTTGTATGTCAAGCATGATTTGAGTGAGGAAATGATTTGGGAACTTGGAGTATGTGGAGTTATTATATGGGGAAAACAACAATATTGTGAGAGCTAGTCAATCTTGTTTGTTGGAGTGAGTTTAATATAGAGCGCCCAAGTCATTGCCGTCTTTGATGTGAGAGGCAACTAATAGTCTCAACCTTGCTATTTTCCAACACTCGTCTTTGTCAAGATTTTCAGAAAATGTGTCATGAAAAAGAAAAGGCTTTCTAGAGAACAACTCTCAAGTACTTTGACTTGGTACGTTTTGTTTAATCAAGTTTTTTTTTTTTTTTTTTTTTTTTTTTTTTTTTTTTTAAGTTTCTCTGATAAGGTTAAAAAAAAAATTACTTGTGCTTTTTTTATTTTCTAAACGTCAGATCTGTATTAAAAATTATTTATTTTATATATTTTTTTAATCTGATGTAATTTTGACCATACTCAATATATTAGAAATTAGCACTACTGATAGAAAGGCTTACCAGATAGTCTTATTTTATTTTATTTTATTTTTTAATTTTTGTGGGGTTCTTCTTGGCTCCTTTGTTAATTTCCTCTGGCGCAATAAATACTCTAATAGCGATGGTTTCTTATTTACATAATATGACACGAAACTCGATCATAAAGAAAAATGACAAAATAGTGAACAAAACGAATAACAAAGAAAACATCATAATATATATAGGTATGTATATACGTATATTTTTTGTGCAAGTGGTAGTAAATAATTTTGTGTCCTGAGATTATGAATTTTGAAAAGCAATATGCAAATTGTATAAAATGATAAGCCTAGAAATTGTTACGGGGCTTAAACTCAAGACGTCTGTGTTTACGGCTTATCTTAGAATAGTGTCTTGATACAAAACTGTATCCGTGTAGACGGACGAATGGGGGTTTTACAGTCGTAAAGAATGCGGTCAAGATTTAGCTAGACCGGTCAGGGTATTGTTCCCGCGTATCCTGATAAAACTAATTTCATGAGGGGAGCAGAAGTTTCTCGGGAAAAAAAAAAGAGTCGAGACTTTGAATGATGCTTGAATGGAGCTAGGCCCCAAGTGATTAGTGTCAAAGTTCAGTAGTACCGTATTTAACGAGTTACTTTTGACTGATTCTTGTTGCTCGGCCGCAAGGAAAGTTTCACCTACTTGGACAGAAAACACATGTGGGATGGTTTTTGTGTAGTCACTGAATGAAAATCTTGTTTTGAGCCCCAAAAGTAAAAGCAAAGCGCGTTAATATGTGAGCTTCAGAAATTGCACTATTGAAATTCAAAACGTGTCGCGGAAAATGAATTTTTCTGTTGTCTTGTGTCGCATTTGATTTTATTTGAACCAAATTGTCAAAGTTTTTAAGTGAGGTGTGAGACGTTAGATGAGCAAGACCATGAACAACGTAACGTTTGACAATTGCAGTCAAAGGTTAAGACCAGACGACGAAAGCAAACATTGCAACAACAGTCACATTTCTTTTTGCAAATATGTCGAATTCCAAAATTGGGGCATTTTTTTTTTTTTTTAAATAATAATGTACGAATTGAGATTTGTAGTAGTATTATTCATTGAAAATTTAGCTTTTTCCTTCTGTTGTAAAAGGATAATTATGCCTTTTTGTGTAAATCCAGCACAAGTTGAGGCATAATCAAAGCGGCATACACAGATGTATATATACATACTCCTTTTTCTTTTTAGCCTACATATATGACAATTTTATTTTACTAAATTTTGGATGCTAATAATGTGACAATATATTTTTCAATATGAAATTAATTAAGCAAGACGTAACAACCAATTTAATTTAGGTAACCAGTTTTAAAATCCATTAATTAATGGGAAATAGGAGAAAATAGGCCAATATGAAAAACTTAAGAAAGTATATAGGCCAATTTTTAGTTATAGAAATTAATAGGTCATAACTTGTCAAGTTATGGTTCATAACCAGATAAGTTATTGACAAACTTATCAAGTTATGGTTCATAGCCAGACAAGTTATGGACAAAAACTGTGAATTATGGACAATAACTTGTCAAGTTATGATTCATAACCGGATAAGTTATGGATGAAAATAGTAAGTTGGCTTATTTATTAACTTATGTAAACTATTAGTCTATTAATTTTAATTCATTTCAAGTCTTGCCCTATTTTCCTCTTTCTCTCTTAATTAATTAGGGAAGTTTGACGAAAACTAAAGGCAAGAGACCCTATAAACTCTGGCCCTTATCTGTTCTTTTGTCAATTTGTATGTTGAGCTTGGAAATAAAACAGAGTGACTCTGAATTCACCTCTATGATCATAAATATCTTCACAATTATTGTCCAAATGCGCTTCTTCTTCTTTGGTGTTGCATTTGACAAAATAATTTGAACAAGTTTTATTGGGATCATATAGTAAAGTAGTTTAGTTAATTGATTTGTCTCCTAAAATATTGGGGCCACAATCACAATTAGTTAGTTGGGCAAGAAAAACAGACTGTTGTAGTGCCATCTGGTCTTGTCCAGTTGGATTGATGGAGTTAAATTGTCCCAATTGACCAGCCATAATGTTGGTTTCTAAAATCATAATCAGATTTGCTTTGCTGTTAATAACTTCAATAATTCTGTCAAATAACTTGAATGACAAAATGACAGGTGTTAATCGTTAAATATTTTCAACTTAACAGTTGTTAGGTTGGATTTGGAATATATTCTGTGAGTTTTTCCAATATACAAAGTTATAATACTAATGGCTAAAAGTTGCTTACTCTATAAACAGAATTAAGCTTTTCTTGGAGCAAACAAAATGGTACGTGTAGCTTAATTATACTAGCCTTGCAAAGTTTCAAAAAAAAAAAAACGACAATTGATTTGGGACCCAATTGTTTGTTGGTTTCTACAGCCTTGGTCATTAAACGATTTTGGGAAAATATAATACAAAATTTTTGACCATTTGGTATTATCTAAAAATTTTAGGAGAAAAAGGAAAATTATGTGATACAGTATGGAAAAAACACGCTCTTTTAGAACATAGTTGAAATGTATAGTTTTTAACCGTCAGATTATATCAATATCATAAATTAAGAAAAATATGATAATTCGGTCGAAATCTATAATGATCTAGAATTATATAGGATATGTTTGGAAAGTATACTCAAATTATGATTCTTGATTGTGACGTTTAAAATTTAATTTTTTATGAGAGAAAAACATTATAACAAAGTCAATAATTTGAATTTGAGTACACGAGACAAAAGAGACTATAGTATTGTATGCCCTATCATTGACTATTCTATGGAAAAAGAAAGAGTAAGGTAAGAAAAAGCATGTGAAAGAATAAAATTTTTACAGTAGAGTATTTTATTTTGCTCCATCAATGAGAACAATTAGTTTTAATTAATAAATTAATTTTTGTAACGGTTTGATCCATACAAATCTGTATTAAAAACTTCTTGTTAATATGACTATTGGGAAAATAATCTAATTATAAATACACAATTTTCGTCAGTGGAGTAAAATAATTTGTTCCGTCGTAAAGACTCTCGACAAGTGTAGAGAGAGAGAAATAGAGCTTCACATATTGATATCATGTTAGAGAGAGAGGGAGAGTACTCTCACAGAAATCAGAACAAACATGGAATGTAGTGCAACAGACTGTAGCAAACTTTCTTTCTTTTTCTTTTTTTTCTTCATTATTATGATATTTCTGAGGCAGCTAATGCTATCTTAAGAAAATTCCAAAACATGTGAACAATCTAACACACTCGTGAGAGAGAGAGAGAGAAGGGGGGAGAGAGAGAGAGAGAGAGAGAGGGTCCCACAACTAATTATTCTATTATTACAATATTAAACAAGGACACTCCTTAGTCCTCTCTGAGAGCATCTACATCTTAGAATAACATAAGAAATGAACCTGTAAACCAAGATGAACCCCACCATAACACCCACATTTCTCCACCTACTTTCTTCCCCATAACCTTCCTCTCTAAGCACATCTTCACCACTCACCATGCACTTCTCAAACAAATACTCCAAGCACTTGCCAGAATTAGAGAACTCATTTATCAAAAACCCTTCAAATGGATACTTAAACAGTGACAAAAAATGCATGAAAATCCAATACTTTGGGATCTCATTCTTTGATATGAAATATCCGGAGAAGAGAAAGAATGACCCCATAACACCGGCAATCACCGAGTTCCCAACTATGAAATTTGGCACCAATGCACTGAAGCACACCACAACTGAGTTTGCGGTGTACAAAATCAGCCATATCAGCAACAAAAAGTGCAGAAATGCCATGAAATTTGTGTTCAATCCCACAAGCCAATACAAGGGTATTGAAAATAATACGGCCAAAATGAGTAGAAATGGCAAATAGACTAACCCATTTGCAATGGCATAAGATGAGACTCTATAACTCCCACTAGAAGTCTCCTTCATGAGAATTTCTCTCTCTTGTAAAAAGATTGGTAAAGCTTCTATAGTTGAGGACAACAAGAAAGTCAAAATGAATGCAAATAGGCCTACCCTTTCTTGAGCTCCAACCAAATCATCCTTAAGATGGCAGAAAATTGACCCCAAGACGAGCCCTGAGAGCAGCATTTGAACTGTCCTGCATGCAAATAACTCTTTGGTTCTGAAAATGTTTCTGGAGAATCTATGAGTGAGGACAATAGTTTCTTTCAATCTTGAGTTTGCAAACTCATGATCTCTTGGGATCAAATCAATAATCCCACTGTTGACTATGATCTCCTCATCTACGACTTTTGACTCTTGAAAGAGCTGCTGAAGAGTGAACTTCCCACTTTTGCTCTCACCATATTGATGATCATGATCATGATTATCATGATGATGATGATATGATGGCATGATTCCTTTTTTCTGTGGAATGTGGTGATTAGCTTTCTGATGCTCTTGAATGTTTTCAATGGAGTCAATGGCAAACTCAACAATGTTGACATGAAGAGGAAGCTCCAATCCCATTAGCCTAAGGTTGACACGAAGCTGGTCAACACTCCCGTGGTGAAGAACACTACCATTAGCCAACAAAAGGACTGAATTGAAAGACTTTACGATTCTGAAGCCCGGTTGGTGAATACTCAGAACTATCGTCCTTCCTCTAGTTTCCGCCATTGTCTTCAACATGTCCACTATCTGCAATGCTGAAGTGCTATCAAGGCCTGACGTTGGTTCATCAAGGATAAGCACTTTGGGGTCATGAATCACGTCCACTCCTATCGAAACCCGTCGCCTCTCTCCGCCGGAGATCCCCCGAACCCTGTCGTCCCCTACTCGAGCCCCGGCGACGTGGCTCAACCCTAGCTCCTGGAGCAATGACTTGACCTTGGATGCCAAGTGAGGTTGGGGAAGCCCTAGCCTTAGTTTTGCACTAAACATTAGGGTTTCTTCAACCGTAAGTAAAGGAAATAGCATGTCCTTCTGGGTTACGTACCCGGAAGTCCTTTTGAACCGAGCTTTGTCCATTGATTTGCCATTAACTAGTACCGAGCCGCTCTGCGGGGAGATCTTCCCTGCCAGGATTTCGAGCAGCGAAGACTTCCCCGCCCCGCTCGGGCCCACGATGGCGAAGATTTCCCATGGCTTTGCCTTGCAGTTTACTTCCTTAAGGACTTGTCTGAACCCTTTAATGGTGGCGACTTTTGTTGGCTCGGCTTCAACTGGTTTTTTGGTGAAGATCTTAAAAGGGTTTTCGTTGGTTTGTGTTTTGATGTTGTAGTTGATGCATATTGCCTCAATCTCACAACCACCTTGTTGTTTCTTCATTGTTTTAGAAGAAGAAGAAGAAGATCTCTCTGTGTCTGTTTCCATTCACTTTTGCTTATAGTTCTTTTTTTTTTTCTTCTTTTTGGTTGGCTCATGAAAGTAGTGCTTGTGTAGTGAGTAAATAAAGGCTCACAACAACTAGCCTCCTTTTTTTATTAGTATTATTTTAAAAGTTTTTATTGTTAATAGGATTTCCAGTAAATCAACTTTTTTGGGGAAGATATCCAACAAATTAATATAAATATCAAAATTGTCAATTTTGATATGCTTTGAGATGTAAAACATGTATTACTAATCGTCGGTAGTCTTACATCACAATGTCTCTATATTATCATATTTATTATTTGATTTCTATGATTTTTCTCTTATTTGGATTAATTATGAGAATGTTTGATTGATGGATTCAGAATCATGATTCAGAACCATTCTCAATTTACGTGTGTTTTTTTGAGAAAAAATACTGTAACAAGCCACAAACTATAATTCGAACTATGTCACAAATTTTTAAACCAAACGCACTCTATATGGTCTAAATCCATGGCAGTAATTAACCTCAAGTCCATTTCCAACCTGTCAAAAACCATGAGATTTGACAAGTGGTGCCAAGTAATTAAAATGGAATTTGTGAATGATGCTTACGGCCTCGAATTTGTTTGTACGGTTCACGTGCTTGTGTTCTAAGCTGTATTTTTTTAAATAATAATTCTTTTTAGCTCTATATATCGTTGTCAATTGTCATGGAGAATTGCATTACTTCACGTGAGAATGCTACGTGGTATATTTTGTTTTCTCGTGGCATAAGTTGGGTCGCTAATTTTTATTTCTGTAAATTCTTTTTTTTTTTTTTGCTGCGATATTTCTGTAAATTCTTACATGTAAATATTCGGTTCACACTTTCCTTTTCTTTTCCTTTTTTTTTTTTTTAGGAAAAAAAAAGATTTTTGAGAAAATGAAAATCAATAGTGATGACAATTGCATGTTAGTGTGTGGAGCACACTTGGCATAATATAAGGCTTAGGATTAATAAGGTGACATTTGTCATTTCGTCGATAATTTAAATTTTAGCCAAGAACATTGGATAAGGCGGTCATGTCTGTCTTAATCGATTAGTACAAAATTCATCAAATTAATCTTTATGGATTTTTTTATTTAGAGAATTGGAAAATGCTATAAATAAAATAAAATGTTGTATACATGACACTTTCTATGGACAGAGGAGACAATTCCAACTAAATAAGCGGTAAACTATTTTATATCTTTTTAAGTAGATGATAAATCTCAAATTTTAAAAGAAAGACGATACGCGTGACGCATTTAACGATAAAATAAAATCAATACAATTAAAATTGTTGATCTTTAAAACTTGTATCACTGCGTCTACTCCACTAACAAGAGATTAATTAATACCACATTTTTAACCCAAAACAAAATTTAAAGTAAGAACTTTAACTTCAGCTTTGCAAACAGAAAAGACATCATTTAATTATGCACTTCTTTCTATTGCACCGCAAGGAACTTGACTGATGATACATAATTAGTTTAGGGAAAGGAAATAAACTCAATTGGGTTTTTGTATCTTGATAATGACACTTGTATATTCCAAGCTATCAAAGTTCAATTTGCGTGTAAAGAGTGATAAACTAACAAACCCTTAATTACTTGAAAAAAAAAAAGAAAAAAACTTTTTTTTAAGCCCTTAGAGTATAGATCTTCAATATTACTCTACCAAAGGAGAGCTTATTGGAGTTATTAAGTAGTTTGCACTACAAACCAATTTTGCTTCAGAAGTTTTATGTATGTATGTATATATATGGCATTGAGCTAATAGCTATACTTGCTTAATACATATAGGTACTTTGGCAAATCAATAACTTTTAAGGGGATGTTTAGTTGGAGGATTCATATTATAATTTGAATCATGGTTCATAATTCGTTACAATATTTTTTCTTATAAAAAATATACGTAAATTAAAAATAATTTTTCTCATAATTTTAATCTATGAACCAAACGTCTCTTAATTATCGTTTTTAACAATTGAGAAGGGCTTATTTGTTGCTAAATGATCACATAAAAAAGGGGTTAACGCTTATAATTGATTATGTCATTATCAGAGACAGAGTTAGGTACATATATCTGTAGCATCTTGGAGCATATATATATATATATATATATAATGTCGACCTAGGGAATAGAGCAAAAAAATCAAGGAATTGTGGCCCCCCTTGGCCCTCTTAATTTGTGGCTGAAATCACATTTCACCTTATACTCGTTAAAAACCAACCACTACTTTGATATCTAGCAATCAAACTTTTTATGCGCTTTGTTTGTTTGTTTGTTTCGCCTTTTGTACCTTTAGGATTAATTAGTTTTCAAACTTTTTCCTTGTACCGATTGGTTTCTCTTCTTATCTAGACTTACACAAGAGTGCACCAAAAAACAAAAGTAGTTGTCTCCTTCCACTCTATAGTTTAGACATTTCCTTATTCTCTTTTTTTATTTTATATTATGTTTTTTTTTGTAGACAATAATTAGATAGCTCTTGTCAATTGCGTCAGTTGTGGCTATTCATAATTTCATAAGAAAACATTTGACGCCTTATAATAATGTTTTAACACAAATGATATAAGTGTGTGTACATATATATATATGTATGTGTATATATATATATATATATATATATATGCTCTACTTTACTTGTGAAATAAGGTGTCTTAAATATTATATATCCACCTTAGTTTCGAGGGATAGAATTCAAAGACCGCCTATAAATTAAGTCACATCGTATGAAATTAGTTTCCTCAAACAAAAAGAAATGGCTAATTTGGTTTCAAGCAAGGTCCATAGTATGCAGCACAATGATTAAGAATGTTGGTGCAAACAAATTATTAGCATCACAAAACGTTAAAAGTAAGCGAAAATAAGCAAAAATAGCGCCTGAAAGAAAATGATGTATAGAATCTTATAAGTGACTGAGAGCTAGAAAAGATCTCTTGTGCCAAGTCAGACCTAACATTATTATTATTATTTTTCTTTGGAAAAAAAAAACATTATTTTTGTGGTTCACAAGTCTCGAAGTCACAAACCTCAAGTTTCTTTTAATAATTTCTTGAAAATTATTATGAGGAGAATTCTACAGTAAGATATAAAAGAATTACTCTATCAGTACAGTCCTATTTTAAACCACTAGATTTGTATTAGAGTGTGTTAGATTTGCATGCTTTATTATTTTGAGGTGATCTTGACTAAATTTAACGTTAAAAAACATGCAGTATCAAGGGGATGATTTTAGCATAAAAAAACCCTAACTTTTTATATAATAGTAGATAGTAGATAATAGTGGATTTATTTTGTCTGCAATGAGTTTTATAATATATTTGTAGAGAACCCGTGAACTTCCTGTGTGGTCGTTGTGCAGAACCCTCTATGAACCCCAATATATGGCCAACTTGTCCCCACCAATGTTTGGATTCTCATTTGGATTCTCATTTGAATTCATTGATGCACAGTTTTTAGTCCGTGAACCAGGCCACGTGTATATATATATATATATATATATAATATCTTCTCTTGTATAGATGATCTTCTCGTTATACAACTTCGATCTCAAAGTAGCAATTTATGAAGCTAACAATAATCTAAGAAAAATGAAGACACATGTAAATATGTAATATCGATCGTAAAATGTCATTTAGGTGCTATAAGAAGCAATTGGTTAATAACATATAAGGCACTTCAATAATCTTACTTGATCATTTGATCATAATCTTAGTTTAATTGGACTGCAATAATAACTATGTAACATGCAATACAATTTATTACAATTGATCGTGTTTGCCAGACAAAAACTTCGTTAATATATAGTAATCATTAATTATTATATGCCTTATTTATTAATTATCCTCTAGCTAATGATGTTGACCACCTCTTATTTTCGAACTTATAGTTACCAGCTAATTCAATATAGGCAATAAGCACACAAACAACTTGGCAAATTAAGATGCTATTTATTAACATTAATATGTATTGATTGTTATGCACGCATATAGTTTAAATGAAGTATTCCTATATATATGTCCTCTAATTTATCTATATGTTTCGTTTTTAAAGTCTATATTTTTGTATTTAAAAGGCTACTAAAGTACAATAAGCCTTGAGTTCAATCGTTTGCTTCCTTTCAAGGATTCATTTTCATCATCTATATTCATCAATTCTAGAAAGAATTAGCTAATTTCATATATATTATATGTTCAGATATGTAGATATATATATATATATATAATGTACATATGAAGAAAGATTATGTTCTGGATTCTATGCTTAATCATATGATTTTACAGTTGGACTAACTGGTGAAACTTATATTATGTTCCTTTCCTCCAATATTAATATATATAGGTAGATTTTACTTAATTCATTGGGTTGGTAGTTTTCCCATTATTTTATCATTAACTGCACATTGTGACAATAATGTTGATTTTATCTACCATTAACAATTGAACAAGCCCGTCTTTTTTAGCAAATTAAAGATGTGCTGAGAAGTACTGTACTTGTTTGGGGAAGAGTAAAGTGAAAGGCTATTAAATTCATGATAATATAATATATATATAAACAAGTCATGTTGAACCAACACTATACCAAATACATATTGTTGCCCAAACGGGCAACTTTGCTTTCTGACAACGAAACAAAGAGTACAGCAAGTAATGTTCATTCACGAGTGTTCATGATTATATATATTTTTCTTAATTTGCTGTGTGCACAAAACATTTATGTGTTTGTAGACTTTGTGAACCGC